TAAATTTAAAAAGGGGAACCAATTAATAGTAAAATACCAGCTGGCATGATCTAGCATGTCACAGAGGAGGACATACAAATGGTCAATATAATGGGCTGAATTGTGTTCTCCCAAATTCATATATTGAAGTCCTCACCTCTAGTACCTCAGAATGTGACTATTTGGAAATAGAGCCTTTAAAGAGGTAGTTAAGGCAAAATGATGTCAGCTGGGCTCTAATTCATCATGACTGGTATCCTCTTTTTTTTTTTTTTAAAGATTTTATTTATTTATTTGAGAGAGAGAGAGAATGAGAGAGAGCACGAGAGAGGGAAGAGGGTCAGAGGGAGAAGCAGACTCCCTGCTGAGCAGGGAGCCCGATGCGGGACTCAATCCCGGGACTCCAGGATCATGACCTGAGCCGAAGGCAGTCGCTTAACCAACTGAGCCACCCAGGCGCCCATGACTGGTATCCTCTTAAGAAAAGATTAGGACATAGGCACATTCAGAGGAAGACCATGTGAGAACAGAGAGAAAATGGCCATACAAACCGAGAGAGGTTTCAGAATGAAATCAACTCTGCTGACACCTTGATCTTGGACTTCTAGCTTCCAGAACCGTGAGGAAATACATTTCTGAGGCTTAAGCCAACCAATGTGTGGCACGTGGTTCTGGCAGCTGTAGCAAACTAATCAGTCAATACACTTACAAATGGCGAAATAAACTCAAATTAAACAACTATTTGATGATGGAAACAAGTGCTACAATGTATTTTAGGATGGGAGTATAGTCTGATACACTTTGAAGTGCAGTTTGGTAATGGCTAGTGGAAGAAACAGAAAGGGCAAGGGTCATTTATTTATTTATTTAAACAGAAAAGGCAAGAAAATATGAGACTAGGAACCAGAGTTGCATTTCCTTTTAGATTTCGGGAACACTAGATGGGACACTTAGGAAAATTTTCCATAAAATCTACTCCAAACACCGATCTAAACAAATGACTTAAGGATTGATCAATATTATTATAGGTGCAAAATAATTGCCAGATTTACCAGGAATATTCTTTTTATAAAAATAGTTTTCTAAAAGTTATTAGACTCACAGGAAGAGTCCTTGATCAAAGCCACACATTTAGTTGGAATGCTGGTTAACTTCGACATCGATGTGCTTTTTCTTCTAAGAGGACGGGGTCCCCGTACCTGTGGTACAGGGCAGATGGTGTGAATCAGGACACCACTTTCCCACGTGACCTCTGACTAGTGTGGCTGCAGTTGACCCAAGAATCTCCTAAGCACCTCTCTAAGCTCAACATCTGTGTGTGGGTTAGAGCCTCAATGCAGCTATTGTCAGGTGGACACCACTCTAAAACACAGAGAATACTTCTGCAAGGCTTAAAAAAACGAATAAGGGGGCGCCTGGGTGGCTCAGGCGGTTGGTCATCTGCCTTTGGCTCAGGTCATGATCCCAGGGTCCGGGGATCCAGTCCCGCATCGGGGTCCCTGCTCGGCGGGAAGCCTGCTTCTCCCTCTGCCGCTCCCCCCCGCTTGTGCTCTCTCTCTCGCTCTCTGACAAATAAATAAATAAAATCTTAAAAAAAAAAAAGAGAAACAATACTGATATTTTAAAAGATAAGCTAAAATAAATTAATTGAACATTGATTTTTCAGAGTATGTGATTCTTGGTATGTCATAATGTTAAAAATTCCATGTTAATTAAAATGCTTTAAAAATTAGCTAATATGTTATTCCCTATTTTTTCAAACAATGAATATTTTAGAAATCATTAATACTAATCTCATTGTTCAAAAAAAAAAGCCTAACAACTAAGCTTTTTTTAAAAAACCCTCAAAATTCTACCAATTAGCAAATGTGTTATAAAACTTAAATATGTACCTGGTTTTGCTGTAGGTCAAAACACAAACGGCATGTTCTACGAATGTGGTGTTTCATTAATTTAGGGGATTATGTCATTTGGGGGCCCTTTGAGGCCCCTACCTGCTCCTTGTATGTTGATGCCAACACTGTATCCCATGAGGGGCTGTGGGCATTAGCTCTGGTTTTGACAAGTTTGTTTGTTTTAATTAATAACATCCTATTTCAAGCAAAATTTGTCTGTTGTTTATTACTCTCTGTGCTCAGTCCCACATGAAATTTGGTGCTGTACCTCCTTAACAATTTGTGTTTCGTATATCAAACAGTTCTCAGATCTGTAAAGTTGTGAGCTTGAAGAAAAGCTCCCTTCAAAGCATAGTTCAGTTTCATATGGATGTCAAAGGATCAAGTTCGTCCTTATGTAACCAAAGTTGCTGTTTCTATGCTTTCTTTTGACCACTGTTCTCATTTATCTCGTTTCCTTTGAAAACATCTTGCTTTTTCCCAGACATCTCTTCCACACTCAGTGGCTTATCTTTCAACATGGATGCTCAAACAATATTATATTTGGAACAATGCAGAAGATAAAGTCTAGGGCACCTTCTTATACATGCAAGGGAAGAAAGAATCATTCAGCTCAACAGGTGCTATTTCCCCCAATATATTGGGAAGGGTCTTCATTTCCCTTTGCATGTAAAACACCACCTAACAACCAAGCTAAGGGAGCTAATATTTTACACAGTAATGGCAGTCTTTCACTTTCTAATATTTTGAGACATCAATGTTTTACAAATGTTAACGGATCAATGCTGTATGATCAACTGCTATAGCTAATAAACTGATTTATAAAGTCATATTTATAACTCATCTCTCTTTTAAGTATATCTTGGACTCAGATTCTATCCTCCATGGAAATTATCTACTACCTATAAAAGGGTGAGCATGCTTATTACAAACATGGCTTAAATAAATGCATAAACATTCTGGGGACAAATAATAAGAATGGGGAAGAAATGAGACAGTACGAAGAAAATTCTTGGCTTCAGGGTTGGAAGTCATAAGAGACGAGATCATTAGGATGAAGTTGAACTTGCAAGAATACAGTCAATGATCTTAATGTTCGATTGTGTGGTGTGGCTAGAGCAACTGGTCAGGAGATTTTAATCATTCATACAAATTGGAACAAAAAAAGCTTTCTAGACAGTGCTGTGGTCAGATTTGCTGGGTGCTCTGAAGTAGAGGGTAAATTCTAAGAACGTGCTTGAAGTATACTAATCTAGCGTGCTGGCCCTATCTCTAGGCTGGGTTAAGATGCTCCTTTTTTCATTTCCAAGTTTCCAACAGAACCTTGTGCACGTAGCCCTTAGGACATAATCACACTTTATAGTGGGGTTTTTTTTTTTTTTTGGTTTTCTTTTGTTTTTCTGCTTACCTGTGTGTCTATCGATTAGATTTTGAGATCCTTGAGGACAAGGGAACTTGTGCCTATCATAAGCACCTAATAAATGTTTGTTTGATTTCATGTAATTGGATTTAACATCAAATAAAGATTTGTTTGAATATTCTGCTTTCTTAAAAATGCTGACTGGTCGCAGGTTGCCTGGCACAGAAGAGGCTGTTAAGAATGGCTTCTCCTCAGATGGCAGAAGCGCCCCATCTTCTCCTTTTGCCTCCCGGGGTTTTAGACACACACTGACCTGAACACACACAATCCCGGATCCTTTGCTTTGCAGCTAGATGCACACTTGGTGGGGGGAAACTTTTGGGGCGGGAGACAGCTGCTAAGCCACTTGTAAAGAAAGGAGGGGATGAGAAAATACTGGATTTCCTGCTGCAGATAGACCCAAGATGACTCTTCCTATAATTTGGGAAATGAGCTACCAGGGGGCTATCTGCTTTATACAAAGATTTTTCACAAGATTCTTTCAAAAAGTGAGTTTGTATATTTGCAATTTTTTTTTTCCCCCCTGGGGAGAAATTAAGTATTTCTCAAAGCGATCTGGAACCCAAAATGATTAGTACCTACTGCTTCGTGTGAGTAAACAGAATTTGGCTTTCAAAAGTCAAGCTTCTAACTCAATGTTTCTTTGTGGGAAGGCTAACATCTGAGCCTCTTTGTATTTACCGACCGTGATACAATGTACCCAGCACACAACAGTCAACAGGGGTTTGTTTGGGCAAAATACATTCATAGGCAAAGCAAGGCTTACTTGAAAGCCATCATTATCCAGGGATGGCATCATTTGACAGTGCTCCTCACTTTATACACCATGGTGTGCTCACATGTAGCAGTTAGTATAAAGAATTCACCCCTTTCTGAAAGCATAAGACTTTTCATTTAATTTGTGAAAAATTTGAAATAGCTATACCCTTTTCCATGTCCAACTACTACCACTAGAAACTTTTATTTATATGCTACTTATATTTGTAAATATTTCACATTCAATTCTTAAAAAATTCTGTGGAATACATAGCCCTTCCAAGGAGTAAGACATCTGTGATGAGAATATGAGGCTTGGTCTCCCACAGCTAGGAGCCCTAGTTTCTGGTTCCTTTCCTTCAATGACCACACAGAGGTCCTGTGAGACCCCACACAGACCCGAGTGTTAAACATAGCAAAACAATCCAAGCAGGTTTGTAACCACAGGAGACCAGAAAGTTCTGAAACAGCAGGTGACTTTTCTGAGAAAGCTCACACAGTCTGGGTTAGGCTAACCTGGCCACAACAGAGCAGAAGGAAAAAAAAATAACCACCCATTTTTTTTCTTTTTTAAAAAGCTGCAGTTTCACTTGCGGGCTCCGCAAATGTTTTTCCCTCTGATAGTTTGAAAAAGAACATGACTTGGAGGCCCTTTTACCCTTAGCCTTGCCTCCCGCCCCCGACTGTACCATTAAATCCTAGATACTGGGGTGACTAAAAAGGATAGGGAATAAATCAGTAATTGCAAAAAAAAACCCCTTTCTCCCCATTTTATGCTTGGCAGCCCTTGCTACTTTTTTTTAAGTTGTTTATAATGATCAGTTCAAGGGTTTGCTCAGCTTGCAAGGTCACAGCCAGAGCGAGCAATGAACTTTGGACTATGGCTGGAGAGAGGTAAACAACAGGACTATAAATATCAGGGCTTCTGGCTGTGACTTGAAGGAGCTGCGGAGCTGAGCAAAGAGAGAGGAAGGAGGCTGCTCGGAAGGGGTTGTGTAAGTAGGAACTTTGTGTTTTCCAATATTTGATTCAACTTTGATTCTTTCAGAGTTTGGTAAATAATTTGATTTTAAGTCTGATAAAATGTTTCTGTCCTTAGCACAGAGTTTTAAAAAGGGAGATGGGTAAATAAAATAAAAAAAAAAAATAATACAAAAGAAAGAGAACAGAAGAGTGTGGAATTGGGTGGGGCAGGTGAGGTTCTGCCCCGGCCCGAGGCAGTCCTTGCTGATTTCTGCCCTGTCCGCAGGACAAAGATGGGAGCAGGGGAGGCTGGAGAGATCCAACACCGTGACTCTGCAGAGTTGTGTTGTTATATGGCAATACTGCGTGTTCAAGCTTAACTATCTCCCACTGAAATGCAGAGTGAGAACTCTCAGGAAAAATCAGCCCCTGGGTTTGAAGGGCCGAGACTGAGATATGGCCAATCCGCAGGGCTGTAGAAATGTCCAGGGATACGGTGAACAGTTTCAGAAAACACAACACAACAAAACACAACGCGAGAGCTGGGGTGGGGGGTGGGGGGAGCAGGGTCTGTCTACTGTGTGGAAGTGGTCACCCTTCAAAGAGTTAAAACCCAGGTGGCCTGTGGTGAGATGCAAGGTTTTGCATTGTACAAGGTGAGCGGGTACTTGGAGGTGAATGAGGAAGGACCCTCAGATGCCAGCCTGAAGTTCAGGGAAAAGGTTTCTGCATATTTTGCCTCTTAATGGGGAATTTAAAACAGATGTAAGTCTGCAATTGGCCAAAAATCTAGTTTCCCTAACTGAATAGGGGTGGGATTAGTGAAATTTAGAACTACTTTCAACAGCTTCCACTAATTCCGGTTGAGTTATTTATCTTCATTGTTTTTACACAGCTATCTGATAGCTATAATTATAATCAAATGTTTATTATGCAAAAAATGATCTTAAGAAAAAAAGTTGAACAGCCTATTGATTATATAGTAGAAGAAAATGTGTGTGAACTCCATAAATCCACTACCCTCTGCCAATGGCTGTATGTCTTTTTTCATCAAAAAACTAAATGAGGGAAATAAGGGAAAAAGTCTTTTCCTTTATATTTACTATTTAGCCCCTTGAAAGGGTATGTATATGGTGAAGTGAGGATACCAAGTGCTGAATTTATGCTGAAGATTCTTTAATTACTGAAATTATGTTCTAGAAAGCAGGGGATCTCCCTCCAGTCTAGTAAGAAACAAAACAGCTTGAATTATTTTGATGTTCTCTTTGCTATCCTCGGGCATAAACAAATAAAACCCTGGCTACTATAATTATTAGAGGTAATCTGTCTAATAGCTAAGAGGTCCTGTTTTGGATTTAGCAGAACTGGTTTGAATCCAGTCTCTTTTGTGATTTGCCACCTGTGTGGACTTGGGCAAGATGCCTAGCTCTCTCTTAGCCAAGGTTTCCTGAGCTGCAGAACGGGGTGACGGTCACATAGATGTAAGGATTAACTGACAGAGAAGTGCTTAGCACCACCCGTGTAGAGTTCTATAAATGCTCAATGAGTGGTAGCTATAATAAGGGTAATTGTGCCGTCAATATAAATGCCATCCTAAAGAAATGCCCTAGATTTAGTCCAGATATAGCCTCTGTTTTTTAAATACTAGAAACCTAAAAAATTAGAATAGTTGGGATGGCCTTAAAAAATCATTTAATTTCCCTCTCTTTTAGTTAGGCTCTTATCAGTATACCCTATATAGGTAGGAATTTTGTGGTATTAAATGATGTGAAAGATAGTCCGGTTTTTAAAATTTCTATCTACATCTACCGGTGCACCAGAGCCCCAGTCGATCTGATTCTAGCTTTTCTACACTCATCTTAATTCTGGGCTCGCTCTAGGTAACTTATCATTAGCTGCCCACCCTCTTTCCCTCCCCTACCTCCCCCAAATGTACTTTTACTTTCTTATCCCAGATTAGTGCCTGAAAGTGTGCCAACTTCCCAGTTCTAGCATGTTGTCCTGATCTCTCTCCACAGACTTTTATATCAGAATAAGCCTGTTCGTGGGTGGAGTTTTCTTTTACTGCTCGTCTCTGCTGAATGCGTTCCTTATTTTTACCACCTCTTTACAGATCCCTTGTTTTATGTGTACCTCTCTGCTGGGAGAGTTAGCCTTAGTTTGGGGATATTTCTGGTCAGATACTGAGCTTTTCTACTCAGAGGGTGGCATCTTTTTACTCAAGAGCATGCCATCTAGTCACAGAAACTTCTGAAAGTCATGATTGCTAGTACATAGACGGAGTGTAAACTGCAGTGAGTTTGGTAGAGGGACAGCAATTTGTGACATTTCTCCTTGGTCAGAGTTTTTTCTTTGGTCATAGTTACCTCAGATGTGATAGTAACATTTTGGCAGGCGGTTTTATACCTGAAAAGATTCAAATCCTTTATTGTTAACATAGAGCTAGACTTTAAAGAATAAGGAACAAAAGAGAGCCAAAGCCAGGAGACTCCGAAATACAAGATGCTTGAACCTGCAGAGCTGAGGGCCCCACCTGTGCCCTCACTGCTCCCTCCTTTCTTCCTGGGTTCTCTTTCCATGCTGGCTCTTTTCCTTTCTGTGCAGAATCCCCTACTTACCCTTTCCTTTCTTAGATTGGTGGAGGGTGGGAAGCAGCAGTCAGAACTTATTTGGGGGGGAGGGGCAGCGATGGGGGAGGGGCAGAGGGAGAAGCAGGCGCCCCGCTGAGCTGGGAGCCCGAATTGATTGGGGCTCCATCCCAGGACTCCGGGATCAGGACCTGAGCCAAAGGCAGACCCTTAACCCCCAGGCACCCCGCATCTCAAATAAAAACAAAAATATGTTTGCAGAATGTTACTTGGTTATAGAGGCCACAGTCTCAACTCTCAACCTTTATGTTCTAGACAAGTAGTTGGCTGCCTGTTCAGGCAGATCTCCACAGCATGCTTACTGAAGTTTCTTGCCAAGCCAGGTAGTTCAGAGATGCTTTGACCACTCCCCTGCCTCTGGCTGATTTTTGAAACTGTTCTGGGAAGATTTAGTGCAAGGAGGCCGAACATAATGAGCCCCCAACACTGGGATAGAATCCCCGGGCTAGCTCCTGACAGGAAGGGGAACGGTAGTGGCTGGATTTATAGAAATTCCCGGTTATGACTGTAAAATCGCCTGTGAAGATGACAGCAAGGTTTCCTCTGTTACAGGACAAGCCCAGCAATGTGGAGAAGCCTGGGGCTTGCCCTGGCTCTCTGTCTTCTCCCATGGGGAGGAGCAGAGAGCCAGGGACAAAGCTCCTTTTGTAAGCCGCCTCCAGCCTGGAGCATAGGGGATCAAAATCCAATGGTGAACTCAAGTGGTTCAGTGACAGTGGTGGCCCTTCTTCAAGCCAGCTGATACCTGTGCATTCTGCAGGCATCCAGGTGAGAGCCGTTCTGTGCTCTAGGATTTCTCAAGGGGAACGCTATCGAACACATACATACGTACATAAAAGAAACATAGAAATGGAAAAGATGTGTTTATTAAATCACATCTTTAGAAAAACTATACATGTTTGCATAAAACATGTTAGAGGAAAGTATACTAGGAGGATATATACCAAAATATATATAGTGGTTTTCCTGGCATTATAGAAAAATTTTCTTCATTTTGTGGACCTATATTTTATAATGTCCTACTAAATATGTATTACTTGTGTAATGAAATGTTCTAAAATGTAATCCTGCAAATGGGTTAGTTATTTTGATAGAGAAAGCAAATGCGAGTGCTTTGCTGGAGTACAATCAACACTAGACTTGCCATCAAATGCCTTGTGTCATTTCACAAACATATATATGTATATGTATATATAAATTATATGTATAACAAACATATTTGTTAGGTTCTTCAGTAAGTATTTATTGGGTAGAATTCTTTGTCAGATGGATTAAAAAACATACACTTTGTAGGATTAATTTGAGGACCAAATGAGCTATTGCTTGTACAGTCAGCATAAGGTTTTAACTGAGCACAAGTGCTCAGTAAATATTGACAAAACGTAACCTTTAGTTTTTTACAACAATATAAAGAAGAGATATAAGTAAAAAATAGTAAAAGAGTTTCATGTAAAAAAAATAGCAAGGAGAGAGAATTCACTAACAAATTAAATGAGATTATTCCTTTTTTGTATTTTTCCTAAATATTTTAGATTGGAAGACCTGCGAATAAAACTGGAGAAAGAAGGATATTTGAACATCTCTTATGTTGTTGTTAATCATCAAGGACTTTCTTCTCAATTAAAATATATGCATCTTAAAAATAAGGTTTCAGAGTATATTGCTGTTTATCAACAAGAAGAAAACCAAACAGATGTCTGGACGCTCTTAAATGGGAAAAAGGAGGACTTCCTCATATATGACAGGTGTGTACACACACCCCAAATTAAAATATAACCTTTGCATTTAATTTAATAGTAAGTGATTTAAAATAAGACATCTTCTTTTGTTTTGTTACCAGACACTCAGCGAGCACATTAAAATGTTTGGTTTTAATGTTTTTGAAATGACTTTCTTTTGTGCAAAAGAATTCACCATTCTAGTAGGGAAATACAGAAAATTGACTAGACTCATCCCCCTTGTAGATGGGCATTCCGAGAAAGGAGCAATTTGTATATCATGTACAATTCTAACCTAAGAATTTTTCAGATGAATAACTATACTTTGCAGACCACTTGCTTATTTCTAATCTGATTAATAGTTTAAAAGTGACATACCTGAATTTCTGAACTATAGTGTGTTAATCTTTTAGGTCCAATCTGCATAAATCTGCTTTTGATCCCTTGGGTGAATAAAACATTTGTATTTTGAGGGAACCTTGATGCTTATGTTATTTGATATGACCAACATGACTAGTTGATTCTGTTTTCTTTGGACTCTCCAGAAATGGTGAGCCAGACTCTGTTTAGGCCTAAGCTCTGTTTCATCTTACTCTAAATATTTTTAATATTACATTTTTTTTTTGGACTGCAAACTTTTTTTTTTTAAAGATTTTATTTATTTATTTGAGAGAGAGAGAATGAGAGATAGCACGAGAGGGAAGAGGGTCAGAGGGAGAAGCAGACTCCCTGCGGAGCAGGGAGCCTAACGTGGGACTCGATCCCGGGACTCCAGGATCATGACCTGAGCCGAAGGCAGTCGCTTAACCAACTGAGCCACCCAGGCGCCCCGGACTGCAAACTTCTAATTTAGATAGTTGCAAAGTGTAGCTCTTTGATATTCACATAATATTATATATCCTGGGTAAAATGTGGGCAAGAAGGACATTTCAACTCCACCATTTTTGGGAATACCAAGTATTGTAATTCCATTTCTTTCATTATGCTGAAATTTTTGTTGCATCAGATATATTTTTTAAATAAATGGGTTACTGGCCAAGACATGAGGATCTTTATTGTTATGCTGTGATTTTTGTGTTGTGTGGAATTTGTGCTGCCATAGTGGTTATGAAAACCTCATGTGATTTGCAGAGCCCAATTTATGATAAGTAAGTGGTTTGGGCATTGGTAGAATTTATGTCTCTTACCAAATTGTATTTGACCAAGTCACAGTGAATTAACTACGTAGTTTTGATATTATTAATAGTGGTATATCTATAACATTTTGAAATGCTAGTGTTAGATTCACTGTAGTCTTGCTGTGACCTAAGCTGGTATTCAGTGCCAGGGAGCTCATCTGAGACCCCATTCAAGGAAATTTACTGAAGTTGTGAATGGATGGGTCTTTGTTACAAGACCATTAAACCCAACAGTACCTATCCCAAACTGCTTACGTACGATCATGATACAGAAAACATTGTAATGATACTATGTTTGCCCTTTTTTTTTTAGATGTGGCCGTCTTGTATACCATCTTGGTTTGCCTTACTCCTTCCTAACTTTCCCGTATGTAGAAGAAGCCATTAAAATTACTTACTGTAAAGAGAGGTGTGGAAGCTGCTCTCTCACGGTATTTTATTTTTCTTAATTATTTTTACTGGGAGGAAAGAGAAAATCTTTTAACGGCTATTTAAATAAGTTAGTGTCATTTCAAGACCAATTAGTTAATCAATGTTTCTGTTGGTTATACTAAAAATAAACTACAATGGTAATTTTTATAATTACACATTCTTTCTGTTATGTAACATATACTGTAAGACATCTTTTCAAGATCCATATTGCTGCTTTTATCTAGAAGGAGTTTTGAAAACAAAGTCAGCATAGATCACATATTTCAAATACCACCAAATGATATTGCATGTGTTCCAAGCGCTCAAAGAATTCAGCTAACATAAAATATCATTATTGTAATATCCTGAATATGTTCACAAGAGAGCATACTGATAGCAAAGCTTATCCATGGCATTACCTGAAATGGAATTGGGGCCCAGATAGCTACTTAATTTATCAAAGATGTAAGACTATCAGCTTTTCCATGAAGCCCTTACACTGTCTGCCCATTCTGTAGCCAGAATCACCGTGTTTATTTCACAGTGGAATAGATTTTCTACTCGTTACTGATACTTCTCTTCTAACAACTGTGAGAATATTTCTTCCTTGTTAGGAGAATTGATTTTAATTTATATTAACTAGAACCGCCCCCATGTTGAAAAGGAAAATAATTCCAAACAATTTTCCTTAATAGGGCAAATTGGCAAAATTTGAACTCAGGTTTAAAAAATAATTCTTTTTTTTTTTAAGATTTTATCTATTTATTTAACAGAGAGAGAGAGAGAGAGAGAGATCACAAGTAGGCAGAGCGGCAGGCAGAAGGAGAGGGAGAAACAAGCTCCCCGCTGAGCAGAGAGCCCGACACGGGGCCGATCCCAGGACCTGGGATTATGACCTGAGCCAAAGGCAGACGCTTAACTGACTGAGCCACCCAGGCACCCCTAAAAATAATTCTGAATTTTATTTGTGAGCTATACATCCTTCAGATTTTTCCAGGTGTAAAGAAAGCCATCTCAATTTTTAATGAATTATTTAATTAACTAATTTAGTTGTTATGAAGCACAACAGGTTAATTACTCTAGTTATATAATTTTTCACATTTTAATCTTCATTATAATCCTATGAAGCTTATTCTACTGCTTTTAAAGAGGGGGAGACTGAGATAATGCAAATAAAGTATTAACTCAATGTCTAACTTCTAAGTGCTTAATAAATGCTAGCTATATTGATTCCTTATATTCTGGGATTATTTTAGTATTTTGCATTTTTGCAAGTGCCTAATAGTTATAAATATACCCAGTTATATTGAAACAAAGGCAGAAACAGTTCCCATAACATGCTTAAAATTTATGAGCCACCTGTAAATAGGAATAATACACCATGTATATCTGATATGCCAAAGCAAATTGGAGTTTTCCTATTTCATTGTATCCTAGATGCCATCAATTAAATGACACATTATTTTATGTACTACTTAAAAAAATGCTGTCAGTTAAGGTGGGACACAATGTTACAACACCAACAGTAGGATGCATTCTGATTTTAAAGACATTAAAATGTGAAAAAAATACATTGTAGGATCAATAAAATATAGTAATTGGCTTTTTGAAATTAGACTACTACTACCAATCTTTGAACATTTAGAACATTATGTAGTATATTTTAAACATTATCAAACTGTTACTAAGTTTATCAAATTGTTTATAGTATTAAATTCTCAAAAGTGAAAGAAATAATCAACAAAACTAAAAGGCAACCTATGGAATGGGAGAAGATATTTGCAAATGACATATCTGATAAAGGGTTAGTATCCAAAATATATAAAGAACTTCTAAAACTCAACACCAAATAATCCAAATAAAAAATGGGCAGAACACATGAATAGACATTTTTCCAAAGAAGACATAGATGGCAAACAGACACATGAAGAGATGCTCAACATCACTGATCATCAGGGAAATGCAAATCAAAACTACCGCGAGATATCACTTCACACCTGTCAGAATGGCTAAAATCAATAACACAAGAAACAACAGGTTTGGGGGAGGATGTGGAGAAAGGGGAACCCTCTTACACTGTTGGTGGGAACACAAACTGGTGCAGCCACTCTGGAAAACAGTATGGAGGTTCCTCAAAAAGTTAAAAATAGAGCTACCCTATGATCCAGGAATTGCAGTAGTGGGTGTTTACCAAAAGAATACGAAAATACTGATTCAAGAGGATACATGCACCCTTGTTTATAGCAGCATTATCTATAATAGCCAAATTATGGAAATGGCCCAAGTGTCTATTGATTGATGAATGAATAGGAAGATGTGGTGTGTGTGTGTGTGTGTGTATGTATAATGGAATATTACTCAGACATAAAAAAGAATGAAATCTTGCCATTTGCAATGGTGTGGATGGAGCTAGGGAGTATTATGCTAAGTGAAATCAGTCAGAGAAAGACAAATACCGTATAATTTTACTCATATGTGAAATTTAAGAAACAAAGCAAATGAACATGGGGGAAAAAAAGAGAGGCAAACCAAGAAACAGATCCTTAATTACAGAAACAGACTAGGGGTTGCTGGAGAGGAGGTGGGCGGGAGATGGGATGGTTTAAACAAGTGATGGCCTTTAAGGAGGGCACTTGTGATGAGCACTGGGTGTTATATGTAAGTGATGAATTACTAACTTCTATACCTGAAACTAATATTTTACTGAATGTTAACTAGCTGGAATTTAAGTAAAAACTTAGGAAAAAAAAGGAATAAGATAAAATGAAAAACAAAGCAAAAAAAAAAGGAAAGAAAGAAATGGCGGGGGGCAAACCAAGAATCAGAAACAGACTCTTAACTACAGAGAACAAACTGATGGTTATCAGAGGGGAGGTGGGTGTGGGGGATGGGTTAAAGGTGATGGTGATGAAGGAATTCATTTGCCGTGATGAGCACCAGGTGTTGTATGGAAGTGTTGAATCACTATATTGTACACCTGAACCTAATGTTACACTGTTAACTAAGTGGAATTTGAATACAAACTTTAAAAATTGCGTTGAATTCTCAAAAGTAATTTAGAAATAACCAAAATATGTACCATTTAATAGTTACATGCAAAAATCCAGTGGAATTTTTAACTTTTCAAAACAATGAACCATAACACTTGGAAGATCAGTTTGAGAGACCAAAGACTCACTAACTTTACTTACAAATCACTTTAGGTAGAAGTTTCGTATGACACTGCTATATCTGTAAGCTTTGAGCCTATGATTTATGGGCACACTAAACAATAAAAAAGACTTGCAGCAAATTAACTAGATTGATGCAGAATGGAAGCTCTTGCTTAGTGGAAGATGGGCAGGAATTTGCTCCTTGCCCGCCGCAGCTTGACAGGAGGGCCACAGTAACAAAACCAGTGAAGTTCAAAACAGTCCCTGACATAAGCTGAGGCATGAAAAATGACTCATCTCGAGCAGTTTATTGGCATTTTTCAATTATCAGAGAGAAATTAGTTTGCTTCAGAATATAACTAAATTTGGATAGAACGGTAGATTGACACAGGTGTGAAAGTTTCCATTTAGTTCAGCTGCTTCTAAGATTTGACATTTGTTTGACTTTACTGCAATCAATGTAAGTTCTTTTAACCAGTTTATTTAGCTTTGCTTTCTGCAGATGTAAGTGGTTTGCTTTCTTTTTAAGCCTCATGTATCTCTTAAATTCTTCAGAATTCTTAAAAATTTAGGAAATGCTCTTGATTAGGAAAATTTGAATTCTGCTGTTGATTTAACCAGTATAGAAGTTTAGGTGAACTGTTGAATTTTAATCATCTTATGCTCTATTTTATCTATTTGGAAAACATTAATGTTAATTTCCTTGTAAGATGCTTGAGGATTCTTTGATTAAATGCAAACTTTGCACAAGAAGCAGTTTATAATTAGGTATGATGGGAACCAAATTTTAATAGAAAGTCTAGGTGTTGAAACCGGTATCAAATTTTTATCTCATTAATATGACGCTAGAAAAACAAAGCCAGTTCAATCCTAATTAACTGGTTTGCATTTTACATATTTTAGCTCTACAAATCATTTCTTGTGCACTCCTGCTATACCTGTACATTTGTTGATAAATGATTATAAATTTGTTCTAGACCCTGGAAGCTGAAGACTTCTGTAAAATGGTATGTTTGGCTACTGTGGGAGACACAACTGAGGCTCCCCAGCCACATCACCACCACCACCACCACCACCACCACCACCATCGTCATCATCACAAGCATGGGCATCAGCATCATGGGATTGATGGGGTTTCAGAGAATCAGCAACCAGAAGCCCCAGATACTGCTGAGCATCCCACTCCTTGAGGCCTCCATCGCCACCATAAGCACAAGAACCACCAAAGAGAGGGCCACCCAGACACCTGAGATCTGCCAGCAGGAAGTGAAAGTTCACAACCTTCTGTTCCACAAAAGAGGCTCTGACGAAAGGGGTGTATAAATCAATTACTCTGCAAATTGCCTAAAGATTCAGGGTTGGCCCCTAACAGCTGTTGCTGACACTGACGACATCTGATATTTGAAAAAACAGGGTCTGCAATCACCTGACAATGTAAAGAAAGCCTCCCCTCTCTATGCAGCTGACAGGGACTTTGGGCAGAGGAGAATGTCATTGAATCTTGACAGTGACGTTTACCTCCAGCTGCCTGACAAGCAAGTCAGCAGCTTCAGCCCACAGAAGCCAGCACCAATTGAAGCTGAAAACATAAGGCCAAAATGTGAAAATGACCTTCATACTAAATACTTAAATAAGACATACTCCCCAAGTCAGTCTAGACAATTTCATTTCCAGCATTTTATAAGCCACCTAATTAATAATGACCCAGAAATAAGAATTGGATTTGTACAAACATGGAGAAATCTATCATATTGGCTTCGAAATTTTAAAATTTAAGTCAAAGAAATTTTGACCCAAACCATATTTTCATTATTTTATTATAAAGGTGATTGCAGCATTTGGTTGTTTTTTTTTTCTCTTTTTCCAGTATTCTGCTTGCTTCAATGAGAACAGAGACGTAAACTATGACCTAGGGGTTTCTGTTGGATAGTTAGCAATTTAGAATGGAAAAAGAACAACAAAGACATGTTTTCCATTTTTTTCTTATTTCTCAAAAAAATATTATCTTTGTCTTTTTAATCTTATGTTTTTAACTGACTAAACCTTTAAAGAACTCAGTGAATTCTGTCTTTTAAGTTTCAGAAATACTGACACAAGAATATTTTGCTAGGACTACATTTTAAATATCCATTTATACTTTGTATATCTAAGAGTCATATCTTGATTTTTACTATCACATATGAATGAAACCCTTATATCTTGTTTTCTTTATCTAGCATTGTATCACACTCTTAAATTTAAGATAGTCTGTCTTGAAAGTTGTAATGGAAAAGATAAAAGAATGTTGTCTGTCTCTTGATTGCTTAGAAAGTATTTCCATAGTCAATGATGGTTCAGTAGGTAAACCAAGTCCTATAAACCTGAACTCCTTTATGGTTAATACTATTAAGCAAGAATGTAGTATACGATTGGACAAATGTGGATTTGTTTAAATAAACTCAATTTAAAAAGTTTAAAGCTTTCTTTTTTTCATTGTTATTGTTTAGGCAGTATATTAATGACAGAAGCAAATTTTCAACTTCTTTTAAAGAAATTAAGTAGAAACTAATGAATTTACTGTCCTACTCAAAACCGTCTACGCTTAAGGTAAGAGCCTTTGCCGGTAGAGTTAAGTTGAGAATCTTTGCCAAGGGAGAGGCGTTGCTCTAAATCGTGAACGGTATTACGAAGAAATGCAATCTCCCTGTTTTTCTCTTCTTGCAGATGTTGAAGCTTCTAAATAAAGCAGAAAGAAATGTGTTACTGCAATTCAGAAATAGTAAGATTAAATACAAGAAACAACAAAACAACAACAAAAACTGCATTTCTGGTTTAAGTAGATGTTTTAAAAGACAGCTTATTTTGAAAGGTTTATAATTTTATTTTTAGAAGCTTATGGGGTAAAACTGGAATAAGGATACCAAAATACGTATTAGTACCATTTGTTCTAGTTCATTCCCTTCTCCCTATATAGCTTGAAGTTATAAACCATAAAAGAGGAGTTGAACAAAAAGAAATCTATTATCTGAGTGCCTAAATAACTTCAGAAGAGTAGGTCAGTCCTAGTTCAGAATATATTACAGAATTCCTTAGATGGCCCGAAGAGTCAAAGACTGCTCTGATGTTTTAATTTACTGCTAAGATTTATTACTTTAAATTGAAGATGACTTTTAAAGTTTTATTTATTTTACAGAGAGAGAGAATGAACATGCATGCAGTAGGGAGGGGTAGGGAGAAGGAGAGAGAGAATCTCTCAAGCTGACTCCAGGCTGAGCACAAGTCCAATGCGGGGCTCGATCTCATGTCCCTGAGATCATGCCCAGAGCTGAAACCAATAGTCTGGTGCTTAACTGAGCCACCCAGTCACCCCCGAA